AACATCGGAAACCATGACTTCGTGACGTATCCGACCCTTTCAGCGAAGAAAATGAATAGTTTCGAAGACGCAATGCCATGCTCGCAATGATTGACCAAAATCAGGCCCTCGAGGCGGCGGGTTTATGTACAATCCCCTCACCCAACGAGCAGAAGAAAGTTTCCAATCCGACATATCCCGAAACCCATAATAATTGTTGACGAATTATTTCATTCGTGTAAAAGTGCAGCTAAAGTGCGGTATCTGAATCTCGAGAGGTCCCTATCACGGGACGACTTGAGTAACTACCGGCGCTCCGGCTCGAAAGGGTTCTCGGCTCGCTGGTGAGGCTGGCGCTCGGCTTCGAAGGGGTTTTCGTTACCAGGTTGGTTATTTTGGCCATGCGGCTGCCAGGCGCGCGGGGGCTTGCCCATGGTTGGGTGGTCGTAGACGTCGCCGTCGATCTCGAGGTCAATTTCGTCCTCCTTGCGCTCCTGCTTTTGTCTTCTCATGTGCAACACAGTCAAGACGCCAAGAGTACCGCAGATGAGCACAGCACTAGAAAGAAATGATGTGAGTCTTGGCTACGAATGCTAAGGCAGGCCCTGGAGTAGCTTGGCGGCATGCGAACGCAAGCACAACTCAAAAAGCAGAGTGCGGAACAGTTCGGGTAGACCTACGCAGTAATGCCGATAGTGATGCCGATAATCTTGGAGGACTGAAAGGGTTTTTCGCAGCGGGAGCTGTTGTCTCCATCCGCGCAATCATCGCGCGCAGCGAGGTAGTGTACAGCGCGAGCGACGGGTGCCAGGAGGCTTGCGGCAGTTGTTGAGGAACTCATGATGCGACTGAGGAGGGATCGGATTATTGTGGATATGATGTAAGGGTTCGATTGTGGATTGGATAATCGTTTGTAATGACGATGGAATTCCCTCGAGTTCCGATAGAATTGTAGATATCGTCACGTCGCGTTGAGTAAGGTGGAATCCTCCCTTTCGTATTTAATTCCTTGGCTTGAGCCGTCTGCTTCTTGTCGCAACTATCGCCTTGGTCGTCCTCGAATTCCTATCGTTCGGTTGCGGCAAGCGGGCTGCGGATTGCTCGTCTGTAATGAGTGGATTCGCCCCTGTGTCGCTTGTGTGAAACCGGATTTGGAGCCCCTGCTATCGCATTCTCTGATTGCTAACGGTTTTTTTATGCAAGGAGTGACTGGAGTGAAGAAGGGCGAAAACAGTTTGCGAACAGAGACACAACGAAAAAGTGGCCGGTGCCAAGAGGAGATGCAGGAAGGAAGGAACAAAAGAGTGAATATCCGGGAAGGTTTGTGTTTGCTGGCGAGGGAAAGCAAGAAGGGGGCGAGGAGGGAAAGAGCGCGCGAGATTGAGGCGGGCAGGGACGGGAAGCAACCTGGAAGGAATGGAAGGAACGGATGGAATTTAGGAAGGGACCCGACACCTTGAAAACACGGGGAAAGTGGAGGGAAGGAAGGTGAGGCAATCTGCCTACCTAGGTCCAGGGGGAAAGAGGTAGGCACCGCCGCACGTACGAAAGTACGCCCGACGCAGGTACGACAGGAGCAGGCGCAGGAACAGGAAGGAACCCGTGGGCAGACAGAAGGCACAGAGTGACAGAGTGACAGTGTAGGAAAGAAGGCACCCCTCCTTCCTCCCTCATTCGACAACAACGTGCCTGCCTCAAATGTCTCTATTTTCAATCATTCCTTCCATACCTTCCCCCATCAGGAACGCATTCGCTCCTTCAGTCGATTTAGCGGCTGTGCATTTCTGCATAGTCTGCATTCGCTAGGAAAGACACAAGTTCCAGTCTGGGGGGAGAATGTGGCTGTGTCTCACTCATCTTCGTTTCCAGTGAGGCCGAGAGTGCCGGAATTGGCTGTCATGATTGGCTCTTGGGAAACCCTCCCCAAAAAAGGCCTCCCCTTACAACGGTCTTGAAAAGGAACAAACACGAACCTGGGCCCCAGTTAAAGGGTTGGCGGGATGGTCCTGCGATCCGAGTCAACCGAATACGGCCAATGAACGGCCAACACGGGCGAACATACTGCCGCAGTCAATTTCCCCAACTCTGGCTTTTGCCTCCTCTTCCCTACCTACGAACTGCACAAGCCAAACACAACGCTGATGGCATCGCCAAAGAAGGGTACGAGAGGGGCTGTGGGAGTCTTCCGTGGGCTATCGTGGGTATCGCCAACTGACAGAGTGGGAGCCTCGTGATTAGAGTGGCTGCCAAAGAATTGGTCTTGCGGGGAAATGCTTGTCTCGTGTTTCACATTCCAAACTCCCTGTTCGCTGTGCCCGGTGAGAAATTGGCATGTCATCCCCTTCTCTCGAGGTCGGGTGACACTGTGGCAGATAAAACAATTGCGCGCGCGACGGCCCTCGAATCTGATGGGTTTGGCAGCACGAACTATACGAATTTCAAGGGCGTTCGTCCCGCCACTACGGCGCTGAAAATTCGGCATAGCATTGATGACTGAGTACCCGGGCAATCAACAACCCTCTATTAGAGTTCATGACGACAGCGACGTCAATTGACATTTTCTTCACACCAGACGGCAATCACCAATTCCAGGTTTCTTGACACGGAACCACGGCAGATTCTTAATCTCCCTTCCCCTCTGCCGTCCCCCCTCACCGAGGCAGCGGCAGCGACTCGGCGACCAACAAAAACATCATCTTGTGACATGCTTCAGACAATCCTAAGTACCTTGTTATCGAAGAAAGTTAATTCTTTCTAAGTCATAAGTATAAGAATATAGTTTTAATAAAATAGTATAGTATTTACTTAGTACTTAAATTAAGATATTTTTTTAAGCTTATTATAAAAAAAAGATAATTATATTACTAACTACTTATTATTAAGGTTTATAAGTAGTATTATAACTTTAATTATAATAGCTTTATTTATAATAAATAAAAAGTTTAATTATAAGTCCTTTAAAAACTTCTAATTAAGAACTATAAAAACCTCTAAATTAAATTAAAATACTTATTAAAATATTAATAACTAAACTAACCCTATAATAACAACTTTAATAAAATACTTAGTAAATAATACTAAAATCTTTATTAATATTAAGTACGATTTATAAAGTATAATAACGTAGCTATAGGGTATTATTAATATATTTTATATTAAAAAAGGTATTATTAATATTAATAAAACGGATAGGGCCGTATTAATATAGTACTTTAGCTTCTTTTTATAGCTCGAGGATAATTACTTTAAATAGTATTAAAAATTTATTAAAAAGCTCTTTTAAATACTCTAGTATATTTATTACTATTTTTATAATAATAAAACTCTTAGTATTTATATATAAAAATAAGTTACTTATTTCTAAATAATAATATTAGCTTATTAATAAGTTATTAAAACTATAATTCTAGTGATTTTTTAATAAGGGAGAGGGTAGAATAAAAGAAAGGATAAGTAAAAAAAGGGTTAAGGTTAAATAGTACGGAATTCGAGGGCAGGGTAGCATCTATATATACTGCGGCAATCCTCTAGTAATGCAAAACGATGGAGTTAAACAGTGGCTTCAGACAATCTATCGCATGAATTGTAACGAGTTATCCCGGCGATAAGGCCGACGGGAAGAGCCAAGCGCCGCGCCTTTCATTTCGCTAAATGGGCCTTGTGGTGCTCGAGCTTCCCACTCACTACGAGAGCCACGCACTGACCGACGGACCAGGAAGAGAAGCAAGACAAACCATTGGAAGTTTGTTAATAATAGAACCCTGAGACAGCGCCGCCGCCGCCCCCCGCCCGAGTTTTCTCCCCGTGTCCTTTTTTCGGAATGCCCTCGCCTAATGCCGAGGTGCCGCTGGCGTTGGAAAATCCCCCGACTCAATTTATGTGCGGAGCAACCCTGACACTGTCGGGAGCTTTGCGGGATACCGAACGATTGCGATTATCAAGTCCGCAGACACGGATACGAGCGACGATGGACGACTCGATGAGTAGCCATTTCACCTTAACCTGCTTGACGGATTTATCGCTCCGGGAGATGCGAGATTGGCAGATGCGATTGGAATTCATCTGCACGACGATGGATCATTGAACCGCATTCTTGGGACCAGCTCATGTTGCACTGGAATGTAGTCCCTATTGCCGGTGGGCCCAGAACGATCGAACCGGCCGACGGAAAAATCATCGTCGGCCCGAGGATGACTGGGTGGACGGGAGCGAAGTTGTGGAGTTCGTATCTGGCAGGATTTGCCAGGCCGCACGGGGCGACCTCCGATAGATGGATACCCCGAGTGACGGAAGATTTGTCCCAAGCGGGTCTTTTCCAAATTTTCGGCTGCCGAGTCCGTCTCCGATACTCGGCATTTTGCCACCCGGACTCCCCGCGTTTTATGGGCCCTTGAGCCGATTCCCGGGGCAGATGTCGAAAGATTCGGAAGGCTCGCGGGACATGAGTCCCCAACACGACCAATTAAATTCTCAGTAATGCTATCAGAGTTCGAAGTCTTGGCTGATGTTACTTTCAGATCAAAAAACAGAAACTTCTCTGCTAAAACGCCCAGAAATGTCCAAGCTGAAGCATGCAGAAGACGGTTCCTGGCCTCAACCGAGACAAGGATTGGTGATGAGATGGATCCGTAACACGTCACACGGACGGAAGGTCAGTATATAGGGCTTACGCTGCGCTGCGACAAGATTGGGACGACAAGAACGCTAAATTTTGACGGATCGGCTTTCCTCGTTGGGAGTTGCGTCCAAACAGAGGAAGATATCGAGTCACTTTCGCTATGGGCTCAAAGACCAAGACTTTTGCCACTTTTGCGAAATGCCATGTGCTGTCCAAGCAACGAATAACGAGCCCATCGTCAATTGTTTGGTTTCAATTGACGAGATTGACGAGAGCCATGGCCAAGGAGGAGAGAACACTTGACTCGAGGGAACCTTCGAGGAGTCAAGGCTGAAATTTCAGATTCCCATGTTGCCACTTCTCATCAGCAATACCTCGGCATAGAGCGAGAACGCTGGAATTTTCATCTATCCAGTATGACTGGGCAACCTCCGATGCCCATCTTTCGCGGTTCGCCGTTCTCCATGGAGATGCAACTTTGTGCTCCCTTCAGCTCTCCGCCAGCTAGCGAACAGCTACATCCTATGCAGCTAGTGGCGGCAGCGGCTCTTCCCTCGTTCGCAACGCGGCTAAGCTATTAGTGAGGTAAGCATATTGGGTCACAAAGAAAAGGGAAGGGGAAAAAATTGTTTCACTGGCACTTTTGCCCACCATGCTCTTTTCCACCTTTGTCTGTGCAGTCCGACGCCATTATGTAAGAGGTTCCCCAAAGGCCCATGGAGCTAAGGTGGAAGACACGCAAAGAGGCTCTAGACTTTGGAAAAGCTTTTTTGTGCTGCCCGGTAAGCGAAGATGGGGCGGGATGGAGAAATGCAGGATGCGGAGCGGCGGCGGCGGAGGAGGAGGAGGAGGAGGCCCTCGAGCTCTTTGGACTCTGGAGAGGACATTAGGACGACGGTGAGGATGAGTGAGACTGGAGTCATGGCGGGCCAGGCCCGATTGTATTGGGTCTGGAGGTCCAACATTGAAGCTGAATGAGATCCCAATTGGAGACGGCCAAGAAATTGAAGCGTCAGCGCTAGGGATTACAACATTTTCGGCAAGAAAGAGGTTGTGCTGCGTTTCTCGTAAATGGCTTTGTCTAGGACATCTCCGAGGGAGAATGGTAGTCAGAGGGGTTGAAGTCCTGGCCAGGGTCGCCAGGGCACTGAGAGCTTCAGCCGCCGGGCGACGCCGCGGCGGGGTACTGGAAGCTCAGAGCTGTGCTGTGAACTGGCGTGGTCGATCCAGCGGGGAGGGGACGGACCACCAGTAACAAAGTCAATTTTGTCCTTTTCAATGAGGGCATTTCGTCCTATTCGCGACTTACACTTGTTGACGATGCCTACGACCAGCGCTTGGCGTAAGGCGTGATTATGACGATGATATTTTCATTACCCCTCATTTCTCTGGATTAAAGCGTATTTGGTGTAGTCGACCGTCCTAAAGAATTGGTCCACGTGAAGGGTGTTTGTTCATGTGACGCGACGTCTCATTCCGCGGAGATAGTAGATACAGACATCTAAAGGGCGCGAGTCCTATGTCATGATGATCTGCGGGCACGAATGGCCACCACACTACCAATGGAAAGCCATCAGTCTGAGGCGCGCACGATGATGTGGACAAAAGGGAATGCATGTAGTTGAGAAATTGAGGCTTACAATGAAGCGATCTCCCGCCTCAGACTTAGTAGAATGCGGGGTGGAAAGGTCATGTTGGAAAAGGAAAACCTGGGGAAAACGTGAAATGGCTTGCTTGCGATAAGGATCTCGAGGTTGAGTGGTTGAAAGCGCTGGTCCCCGTCCGCGCGGGGTTTCACTTGGATCTTGCTGCACCTAAGGCCATGCCGGGGAGGATAATGGGGGCCAAGCGTTATCAGCCTCGTAAAACATATTGATATCAAATCGATTATCTCCCTGCTTCGAGCCTGCCGCTCGTGTTCGTGACTGTCTGTTTCTGTTTCCTCTGCCCAGAGCTCAGGGACGTGAATAGAGGCACGGCGAACACAAGGGATTGTGTCTAATGATTGCTTAGAGTTGGCCAATGGCGGCCCAGCCGTGACCTCGTTCTCTCCTGGGAAAATGGGATGGGGTGCCCAAGCTCATTGTCGCATTGCAGCAATTATCGACAGATTGCGAAGACGAAATGATCTGAGAGCAACACACAACGAACTCTTGGCTCGAGAACTCAAGCTCGGTGTCTTCACTGTCTCGAGGGTTGCACAGAAAGAACATTCGAGGCTAACGCGTGAGAACAGGCACGGGTAGAAACCTTGCTGTACAAATTTGACTTGCCGCGCCCGTTGGCGTGTTTGACGACGGACTTGGGTGACGCTCGAGTCAGCTCATTTAAGATTTTCTAGGAAAACCAGTTGACAAGTTCAGACTTGCGCTCGTCGCAATGTTTCAAGAATTAGAAGCGTGGCTGCCCTGTCTTTCACCGTTGCCGTTGATTGTTGCCGTCCCTACTTACAGAAACCTTGGGACGAATGACTCTCCAGGGATCCTACCACGAGTCTGTGAGGAGCTGTTTGCCCTTGAGGATGCATGTGGCTTTGGCTGTTCTGGTAGCCTTCTAACACAGTCCGTGAGATCACACCGGCCTGGCCGCGTCCGTACCAGTGCCGCCTGCGCTGTCGCTGTGGGAGCCGGGAGCGGGCGCGGCGCCGGTATCGGGGAGGATGGGCAAAAGGATTTCTGTTGCGGGATAGTTTGCGCCATCTTATTGAATCAGGAAAGGACAGAAAGTGAAGCGAAATTGGGGGAAATGTCACGATGTGACCGGCAAGCAGAACAGAATGCCGGCCAAGAGCACTACGATATGACAGTATGACTCCCCTCGAGCGAAGTCGGCGAGCGCGATTTGGTGGGGGGTTGGAGGGGTTCGGGATGTTTCCCGGATCACCGAGAAGGACCCTGAGGCGCAAGGGGTCACCGGGGGCTAAGCTAGGGAGGGGGTGGGAAATGTCCTGCTCGGTTTTTGGGCTTGACGGAAACATTCTTCCCCTGAATGACACCTCGGCGTTGGATGACGCCTGTTGGCGTATGAGCGGTTAATTCCTCTTATAGAGGAGATGAGCATCATGGAAAACATTAAACAGCGGAGCTGGGCGATCTCGAAACACGCTCATGGAGAAGACTTCACATGAAAACCATGATAATGAGTGGGAAATACTCCATAGCAACTCAGGAACAATATTCGTGAGTTCATTGTTGACATCATGCTGGCGACCTCCTGGCTCGATGTACCCGTCCACAAGAAAATTTATGCTGGGCTACAAGCGCGCATTTACGACCGAATGCCCACATTTGTAGCAGGGCTGCAGGAACTGTGGTCCTTTGCCCAAGTTGGGAATGGTGGTCAGAGTCGTGGGTCTGGACGACCGCTCTGGATCGCGATGGAAGTGTTCCATCTCGTTTCTCTGAGCTTAGGTCATCCGTCTCTGGTCTCTTACTGCCCAGGGCGTGCGGATCTTGTACATCAAGACTTTCCCATGGGCAATGTTGGAAGAGTCAGATGGAGCAAATTCTCCAGCTTCAAGCTCCATCCAGTCTGCAGCCGTGGCAGTGACATGTGTGGAAATCAAGTGGATATTAATGCCTGCACCAGCCGGGGTGGCTTGAGAGCGATGGTAGGAATCTTTCTGCCCACGGGGTTGAGAAGAATTTTTCAGCTAGCTCCTTGCTGCGGCTTCGTTCTCTTTTGGAGATATCACGATGGAATCAAGTGTGAATGCCAGCAGCCACCGGCATGAAGCTATGGAGTGCCCCAACCCCTTGGAGCTCTGTTTTTCTTGTCCGAAAGGGGACAGAGAAGTGAGCGCCCAAGCGTCAAGGGCACATATACGGAAACTAGCCTCACTGGGTATGCTGTAGCCACTTGTGGGAGGGGAGGGGGGTTCCTTGACTCCTTGCTCGTTGGAGAAATGCTCTTCAAGTTTGTCGAACGAGACTGAAAATGTCAAAATGGATTCTGCGCCTGGGTGGAAGCAGACACGCAGAGTGAAGGAAAAAAAACGTCGAAAATGGATGGGCAGGTGACTCCGGTTATACGTAAGAGAAACTTCATGAGTGGCCCAGTGTCCTTGGAAGTGGATATCCTACCCCTGCTTCCCGTCCCCGTTTTCTCCGTTTTTGTTTCCCTCGAGTGGGAATTGTGGCTTGCGGTTCGTTTCCATTCACGATCCTAGGCCAAGTCTAGAAGCACGTTTTCCTAGCCAGGAATGACATTCGCACGCAATCGAGCAGACTGAAGAGAAAAAAAACTTCACGATGGCGGCTCCATTTTGGAAAAAGACGATGGGTTGGGGTTGCTTGGCAGGTCAACGCGGCTAAATGACAACCTTTGCGGACAGGCAATGGATGGACTTCTTCCCGCTCGGCACCGGACCGCACCCCTTCCTCTCGGTTTAGGAATAGGCCAACTGAGTCTACGGGATGCCATTCCGTTACGGGGACGGAAGGGCACTTTTGAGGATGGCTGATGGTGGTGATGGTGGGGAATCGCGCGGCTCACTGCTGAGTATCGGAACAGAGAGAAAGACGGTGACGGTGCGCTCCGTCGGTCAAGCAAACCTTTGTGAACAGTCATAGTCCAGAGCCTCAAGAGCGCTGACCGCAAGCAATGGGAGAGGCTGAGAGACTGTGAGATGTACCCCGATCGGCCGGTCGGACGGTCGGGTTGACATTCTCGACCCTTTTCCATTGCGGCTTGGTCCGGACTGCAGATCCGGTGGTACGATCGAATAGGGATCTTAGATCGATTTTTGTCTTGGAGCAGAGGTGCAACACGAGGTTTCAACTGCGATGCTGTGGCGGTGATGTATGGTTGACGGTGATGCCGTTGACTGGTTTACGAGATGTGACGAGAAGCTTCGCTGTTTGGGCGCTCAATTCTTCGTCGCTCGTTGCGCCTCGGCATGAACTGCTTACGTTTGTGTTGAGTCTGGAAATAGAGTGCAGACTTCTAGGCTGCTTGCCACTTGCTGAACTCGACTTACACCGGCGTTGAATACGTGTTCCACGCCCCAACGCCACTATGCGTGTCAGTTTGAGAACGAGCAGATGGCGCTAATGACTGATGCCATCGTACAATCGCATTGCGATGAGAGAAATAGGCTGGTAGGCCGATTCCCTTGGCACAATCAAGTACTTACCCGTTCATCGGCCACGTCTGCCTGTCGTCGTTGTGGCCGGTTTCTGGATCTCACGATATGTCACCGGCTGGGCACCCGGGGAAGATGCCCCGTGGGCCGTGGAAACCTTCCCCAGAGAGAACCGGAGACCATCAGGTTTCCAGCTTGCTTCTGCCGACAGGTGCATTGTGATGGCCTTATCGACCAAGTCACCTGCAATGTCATCTCGCACGACCGCACTTCATGGAGAGCTCCGGTTCTTGGTATTCTAAGAAGAGGTTGAGGGACCCCGCAGCGCGATTCCTGGGCAACAAGAGAAAATCGTACCACATGGCATTGTGCGACTGCACCTGTGAGGGAGGAGGATGCGGTTTGGTTCTGCTGGTTTCCTCATGCCCTTGGCCAATGGTGTCATTTCCCAGGACTATGCTGGCGGCGGCTACAACCTAGTCGGGTCAGTGCTAAGTTTAAGGTGCCGCCCGATCTGCTCTCTGGCATCAATCTGGGAGATGCTGGCATCATCCTCCCGTCTTGCGTTATTACTGCGATGCGCTGGAAACACCTGGATGGTAAGCGGCTCCATGAGCCGTGACCGGCTCTGTTGCGAACGGTCGCACCAACATGATGCCATCCACACAGTAGCTGGTGTGCCGTAAGCCTGTAACTAGCTGTAACTGCGAACCCCTTTGTCTCCATTGCGTTTGTTTCCTCTTTCTGCTACTGCTGCTACACGTGTCTGGCTTATGGACGCAGGAATAATTGGCTTCCCCTCCGTTGCATCATCCAGTACGACGCCGTGCCCCTGGCCTTGCGCCATTGTGGACTACCGGACACGACCTCAAGGGTTCGCAAATCGTGATGGCGGCGAGAGGGAGAATGTAAGCTGAGGCTGGCTGTTCCCTGTAGCGGTCAGGTACAGAGTGTACAGTACCACAATTACAAGTACCTGACAAGCTGTCTCTTGTCCAGCTTGTCTTGGCTCTTTGGTGGCTCTCTTCCCAGGTTCCGGCGATGGTGCTCCGGGATGAGATATACGTACCGAGTTTACCTGACCGCCGCGCTACAGGACCGCGATCAGGCGGTGGCATCTCTCTCCTAAGCAGCGCCGCCTGTTGCGGTGGATGGCCCTCAACTCGATGTTGGTTCCTAGGAATAGCATACAAGTTACGGATGCCCTACGTACCTACACGTGGGCCCGCCGGGACCATTTCTCAGTGTCATGGCTCAGGACGTAAGAGAGTGGTTGCGAGTCCTGGAGCCAGGCGCATGGTCAGGCGGCCACCAAGGAACTCGACCCATGCCACGGCAGGCAACGCCATGCCTTGCAAAAGTTGCAACAATGAACCAGCTCGGGCCAGCATCCGTCCTTCTCAGCCAGTCGAAGGGAGCTGGTGGGCTCAGTCACTGGTTGGCGTTGGTCATGTTCGAGAAGTGTCCGTTGGCGCAATGTAAAGCTGCGCTTGGAACAAACTGGAGCAGGTACTTCGCGCAATGGACCCATCCGGTGGAGATGGTCCAGGCTCTTTTTTTCACACTTTTTTTTCTTTCTTCCCATCCTTGGTTGATTCACACACCTCTGTGATGGATCCACGTCCACTCCCAGTAACAGTACTGCGTCTCTGTCAGTCACAGTTCCCATGTGGGTGTCTGATGAAGAGCTGATGTACACGATGCCGCGCTGGCTGGGCCGTGTCAAAACGCTGGAGCGGAGCATGTGTCGCCAGGTACCCTTCCAACTCATGACACATAATTACCCTATGAAAAGCTTGACCATCACGAGCTGGCAAGACATAATAACGCGACGGTCCTGCTTCACGTCTTGCGTAATAAGAGGCTGATATTACAAGAGTCTACTACCACCGTGACCTACTTTCCTCCTGATCTTTCCTCGTTGACAACTCCAATTTGACGATAACCTCACGATACCCTTCGTTCGAGAAGCCGAAAAGAACTCTTGTCTTTCTGGAGAACCCCGGCCACTTTTGCCTCCTCCGCACTCTGCATCTCATCTCACCCGAAAAGCCCGCCGTTAAGCGCAACGCTGCAGCTGCATCCATCCCACATTAGCACACTTTTCTTGCGCCCTACCTACTACCCCGGTCGACAAACGACTTACACGAAGGAACGGGAAAACCGAAAGGGGAAATTCACAAGAGAAGGAGTCATCGCAGTCGCAAAAAGTCTGCGTTTGTTCATCTCCCATACCCCTCCACTTTACGATCACGACTTTGATCAACCCGAGATTCCAAAACACTTGGTTTTCTCTTTAAAGTCTTCAACGCCTGTTGCGAACGGGAGAACGAAAAGGGTCGACATCATCATCTGCTCTGCAACACCCCGCACCTCACCACCATCCATCGCTTTGGTCGCTTTTATCCCATCTTTCTTCCTCTCAGCGCGCATAGCGGAAGTAGATCACGTCCACCACCACCGCAACCCAGCCCAAACAAGCTTCGTTCTTGGCTGTTCGACGCCATAAAGAAAGAAAAACCAAAACGGGCAAAGGACAGAACGAGAATCAGACCTTGTGCTCCTACCACCCACATCACCTGGACCTCTCCTTGCAAGGATTCGAGAATAGCAAGAGAAAACAAGTCATCGCGCTCCACACTCTTCTCTTCTCTCACTTTTCCAAGTCTCTGTTCAAGTACAAAGAGAAAAGGGGCCCCCGGACACATCTTGGTCTGCCCATCAGACCCATACCACGCATCACTCATCAGTCAGTCAGGGAACATCAGCAGACCTGCCGCATTCCATCCATCAGCTCATCAACGCACTTACACTACTCACACCGCCGCTCGCCCTCGGCCTCGCGCCTTACACCCTTACCACCACACGCCCACCCAAAAGAACCTGCGCGCGCCCGCATCTACCTCGCCTATCCTTCGGGATCCGGCGAATCGACTCTTTTTGTCCTTTTTGGGCTTCCAAAAATTTCTGACGGAACCCATTATCCTCTTGGACGAACCTACGCCCTAAAAACGTCACACCACCTCCCTTATTTTGCGGTTCATCCGCCCCCCCCTCACCCCCTTTAACCCCTGTCCATCTTGTTGGCCCATCTTAGCCAGCCAAGATTTACAAAAGAAGACTTGAGGGCCGCAACCGAACATTTCCAAGATTCAGCAAGCCCTCGAAATCCGGGGAACGCACCACACAACCGCACCCAATCATGCCCCACCGCGTAGCAAACTTCCTGCGGAATTCCACTGAGAACTTCAGTGTTTCTGCCATTGCAAACCTCAAGACTAAGACCAAGCAAAATCAGCAACATCACCAACCCCGTCACAACAACATCCAGGACGAAGGCTTGTTGCGCAGAGTCCCTCTCGACCGCCACTCTTCCTACTCCTCCGATGACGGCGAGCACATCCCTTACCACAACATGTTCGCAGCAGATCCCGCAGACCACCTCAAAGAGAAGAAGCACCACCACCACCGCCTCTCTCTGCCTTTTGGCCGCTCCAACAAGGACTCACACGACAACTCCCATGCAGGCCTCGACCTGAAGATCGAGAGCCCGCCTATCGTTTTCTTCGGAGATGCAGAGTCCTCTACCGGTGCCCTCGTCTCGGGTCAGATGCAACTCGAGGTCAAGGACGAGCAGCTCCAGATCGAGACCTTTGGCGCCAAGCTCAACATCCACGTCCAGCAGAAGCGCCCCTTCACCAACCACTGTGGCGAGTGCACCAACCAGTTCACCGAGCTGAAGCGCTGGACGTTCCTCACGCACCCCACGACGCTCAAGAAGGGCATTCACCAGTTCCCCTTCTCTATCCTCCTCGAGGGCCACCTCCCAGCGTCCATGGACACGCCCATCACCTCCATTGCCTACGAGTTCAAGGCCGAGGCCATCCTCGTCAAGGGCACACCCGGTTCGCAGACGCCCATCAAGTTCGAGCAGAACTTTGACGTCAAGCGCTCCCTCCCTCAACCCGAGTTCCCGCATCACTCTGTCCGCGTTTTCCCTCCCACCAACATCAAGGCCAGCGCCCACTACAACCAGGTGATCCACCCGGCCGGCACTCACAACGTCTCGTTCCGCCTCGACGGCCTCACCAGCGCAAACGCCACCAACAAGACGGTCGAGTTCTGGAAGCTCAAGAAGGTTACGTGGAAGCTCGAGGAGACCATCAAGACCGTGGCCCCCGCCTGCGAGAAGCACGCCCCGGTCCCCGGCAACGCCAACAACAACACCCAGCCTCAGCAGAAGGGCGTGGCCCGCACCGAGACCCGCGTCCTCGGCGAGAAGTACATGCACGACGGCTGGAAGTCCGACTACACCAGCACCGACGGCCACGTCGAGTTCGAGTTCGACTACGGCGTCGTCGCCAGCAAGCACAGCCACGGCCCGCGATACGCCTGCGACATGAAGTCGAGCGACGGCACCGAAGTCTCCCACGCACTCATGATCGAGATGGTTGTCTCCAAGGAGTGGGCGCCTGTCGGTAAGCCCCACCTCGCGACGCAGACGGGCACCGGACGCATCTTGAGGATGCACTACCACGTGATGCTCACCGAGTGCCCCGGTCTCGGCGTCAGCTGGGATAACGAGGCGCCGCCCGTTTACCAGGACGTTCCCCCCTCGCCGCCCGCGTACCCCGACGAAGCGGCTCCCGTCGACTACATGAGCCTTGAGCACCTTGACGGCCAAGCGCACAACGGACTGGCACATAGCCGGGAGGGATCCGTTACCGGCGGATCCACCACGTCATGACACCACCACCACTAGAGAAGGAGAGTCATGAAAAATAATTAATCAACACAACACAAAAAAATCACGTACAATAATTCAAGAGACGGGATGAAAAGGAAAACAAAAAGTTATTGGATTTAGGATCTGCTTTTTTTCAACCGCATTATACCCCCTGGTTTCCGAACTAGGCGCTTGTTTTCTTATAGGATTATAACTCTTTTTGGCGGGAAAGACAGTGTCACAACTCAGTTGGATTTTTAACAGTGAATTTTTGAAGAGATGCATGGTATTGAGTGAAATGACCATGAGGAAGTGTTTTGCATTGCGAGGCGTTTTACGGGGACTTTGAACAGAGCTGATGGAAGAGGCGCATGATCGATGATGCCAAGGTTCCCGTCACATGGCTTCTCAGTAGCTAGCTCGACGACGAAACATACAATTGAAGCAAGAATTAATTATACAAATCACTACAAAATTACTTTGCACTTCCTCTCAATCTTTCAATGTGACTTGTTGGGACTGACTTTAAGAATGACTTAGCTGGACTTCATGCTTCGAGTGCGCTTCAACGGCAAATTGTGCGGCAGTATTACTACTCAGTGAACATAGAGACAACTTCAAACAAAATTTGCCCCTCCGCAACGAAACCACAGACTATGCGACCCACGGTACGCGGGATGGTAACATGTGAAATCCCTTTCGAGTCACGACCCTTGATAATTATAGGCTATTGGCAGGTACTTGTCCGATGTGTACACTACCTTGCGGCTCATCCCACGTTTTCTGTCTGCTAGTTTTGTTCTCGCATTGCGTTTACCCGCTGCGGATGCTGCAAGACCTGCTGGAACTGCAAGGTTTTTTGGGACGGGAATGCCCCGAGCTTCAAGCTATTCAGTTAATCTTAGGAAACAATTACTTGACGAAAACTACTAGTTGGGTGCGTTGGGGTGAGAGTTGGAGAAATTTTAGGACGGAATTCTGAGATTCGAGAGAGTCTAGAACGCCCGCCGACAAACGGCGAATATCCTTGGCGAGCGGTTGATCTGAGCTTTGGAGTAGTCTAGTGAAGGGTCTTTTCGGGACATTGAGTACCGGTGAGATGAGAGTATCGTGAGTTTGCGGCATACGCTCTATAGAGTTGAGTTGCCGAGTTATTAATGCGATGCTGTGAGTTTCCTAAACTTGCTCACTTGGACATCACGCATAGTACTACTACGTAGGCAGTCGAAACGGAAAGTAATTCCCTGCTCGGCATGTTTACCCGGAAGCAGCTATGCCACGTCGCTCGAAAGGGCAGCTCGCTTCCGCCCCGTGGTTTGTATGGCGCGATTATAGTCTCGAAATGGATGATTCAACTTCCAAGGTCATCTCACGATAGTGCGGTGTGCGGAGGGGCTCTTAAGCGCCCCCTGGCGGACGGTGGGCGGTGGTCGGTTTGCCGTGCGCAGCATGATGTGTAGCCGGTGTAGGGTGCAGGAGAAGGGGGATGATGTGTAACCGGCGCACCGGGCCGGGTGTGTCGTGGCCAGCCTGCCCAAGCGCCTTCGGATGGCAATCCGGTAGGTAGGGGCAGGAGGCGGGCTCAGTGGTGATTCGGGGCGTTTTCTATGAGTCAAGCCAGACCGAAAGTCATGCGAGAGCCGTGTCAGAGAGACGGTATGCGAATATCGGAGCCGGCCCGTTTTGGGATGGTTCACAGGGCGTCTCGCAGGGTGCGAAGATGCGAAAGGAGCCGTGGCAGAGGAGGGGGAGAGTCTGAGAGACCGCGCTTCAGGGCTTTTGCTCGGGATCGGTGACAGCCGGGTCCAAAGGGGGGAGAGGGTGGAGGGGCGTGTTGGAGAGCGCCCCCCGGGGTGGCAGAGGCAAGTTGCGGGCGACGGAAGAGGTGGTTTTTCTTACGTGATTGATGGGGACTTGCCGGAGGCGCTCCCGGGAGGCGGGATGACTTGCCCGCAGGCGGCCTGGCTGGATGCTGAGCCTAGGAGGCAACGAGTTTCGGGCAGCTCTAAGGCGAAGAGCAAAAGGGCAGGTCCAAGGCGTGCTCGGCGTGCTTCCATCTAGCCGGCGGCACGAATTTGAACAACGGCGCGTGTGGTGGAGCTCCGAACCTCAGATCGTTTCGTTTTGGTTATCAACTTCTCATGAGCAGTTGGCAGGGTTTCTGTCTACTTACTTCCGTGTAAGACGGAAGAGTGGAGGCTCTGTACAGTTTCTTCGCTCATGCATGCTACATAGGCTATGCCATGCTCGCTTCATGTTCCCTGGAAGTTGGAACTGTCTGGGGAGAACGATTTTGCTGAAGAATTTTCTGTCTCATTCACTCTTGAAGTTTGTCATGAAGCGATGCCCACATCGAACCCGCTTGCCCCATCGCTAGCTCCAACACTTTCTGTGAGTTTTTTCTCCAACAGCGCCAGACCCCATTACCCGATGGATCGCCACTGGGGGTCTCTGAATTTTGGGTTTTTCGTTGGCTTGCTTTTGTGTGCGGGACGCCGAAAGAAAGAAGAAATTGCATGCAAACACTCAACAAGCAGATGCAACGTTGATCCTGGTAGAGAATCGTTACGTCATAAGTCCACTAGCGGGCGAACGACGTACGAGATCGTGAAAATTTGGGTTTTGCTCTGATGTGTGCCACTGCGGGCAAGGGGAGTCAGGGACGCGATTTGTCTGGGGCCCATGTAGAGCGGGGTCTATAAATGAAAAGCTGCCAGGAAAGCGTCATCAAAGCAACTGGCCGGCTGGCGCAATGGTAGCGCATCAGACTTCTATCTTCTCTTCTTCAAGAGTCGTGGTTATCTGGGGGTTGTGGGTTCGAGCCCCACGTTGGTCATTTTTTTGCCATCTTTGCCTTTGATCCTCATCTTTGACACGGAATGGAACGATTCCTTCTTCTTTTGCAATATTTCATTGGTTTCTCTTTGTTCTGAGGTAGATAAGGTGCTTTTAGTTGAAGATTGTCCTGATTCTTTGCCCCTCCTTATTAATGAACCCTAACTTGACCAAACCACAAGTGGGAAACAATACTCGCTTGGGTCTTGTGATCGCATGAACCGAAAACTGAAGGGGCAAATGATTTCAATTTCAAGCATTTGAAATTATTTCAAAGACTTACACGCGGACCGCTGGACATACCCTCAAGGTCTCGAATACGTGACACAACTGACAAGCGGTGTAAGCCTGGCCGACGTTGTCAGCAACACCCAAGAGCCAAGGGCCCTCTATTGTAAACCGAGACATCACTTATCTTGACCACGGTAAAAGTCATCTTGATATTTGCACTAAAAGCTCACCACATAATCTTACGTCTGTCATGCTGCACGTCTATTATTTCACTGTGCTAGTACGGAAGTGGTCTTCAGCTCAAATCATCTGCAAGTCAGACCCCTATTTGATTGGTGGTTGTAGTTTTTCACGACAATATTGCTTACTGTACGTTAGCGCCGCAGCTCTCCATACGTTTCCAGGAGGAGTTTGGATCCAAATCAAGACGCGAGACCGTTGCGATAATGCATCCATGGCTAAATGTGGCGGAGTTAACTGCAAGTATTGTGCAGCTGATAATAACGAAATTAGATGCTGCTTGCGTCTTTAAGTCCGAAAAATAGCATAAAATGAAGGAAGGGAATGTTTGACTTGCTCCGAGGCGCCTAGTGTCTAAAACCTACAACCAAATTTTAGGAGCCAGAATTGCAGAAGGAAGCCCTTTCAAAATGATAACAAGCACATTGGACGAAGCCCAAGTGATATGGTTTCCTTTGGCCTGTTGCCTAGTCATATTTCTTGTTCGTAGTGTCTGGCCAAAAGTTCCAGACTCGCAGGAGCCTCCAGCCCTACAACCAAAAATACCTTTCATTGGTCATTTGATTGATCTAATCCAGATGGGTTACAAGCAACATGTCAAGAATCAGTAAGTCCCGAGCCATCCTGATTGAACATTTACGGGATGATGGAGTCGGACGGGCAATCATGGTGCAACCTCATTGTAAGCTGATACGATGCTAGCGAGAAATTCAATATGACGGCATACTCGTTGCCCATCCTTGGAAGCAAGCTTTACGTGGCATCTTCACCACAACTGGCATCGTCCATCTTCCAGAAGCGGACTCTTAGTTTTGAACCCCTGATTGACACCTTTGTTCGCACTTTGGTAGGCATGGAGGGCCGAGGGATGGATTTGTGGACGAACCCGGAGTTTCGTACCGCCATCTTTAAGGTTCTCTACAAAGGACTAGCCGGACCTTCGTTGATTGATCTTACCAGATCAGGGGTCAGCAATTTAGCCACCTCTCTTGACGAAATACCCTTTGACCAGCTCGAGCCAAGAGACTTCTACTGCTGGACTCGTGAGACAGTGTCGAGGGCCGTCATGAGAGGCTTCTACGGGAAGTTGAGCCCTTGGGAGAACAGCGGAGTCATGCAGAGTTTCTGGTAACTACGTCGCATCCTTATATCTGTCCCGGTCTCGCCACGCTACAGGCGCGTCTACCATGATTGAAACTAGGCTAATTCTCAATACCCAGGATCTATCACGATGACATGCACAGACTCTTCCCTGGGTTTGCCCCCTCTGTCATCGCGTCTAAAGCATTCAAAGCAAGAACGGAGGTTATTGAAGCCTTGGAAGCGTACATCAAGCGTGAGGAGGATTTTGGCGCCGAAGTTCCTCAATTCACCAAGGACAGATTCGGTGCAGAACGAAAGTTCGGAATGTCGATCCACAACAGCGCCAAGATTGAGATTCTCCTAGCCACCGCTCTCGCCAACATCTCCACGCTCGTCTTCTGGCTTCTTTCGAATATTTACAGCCAGCCAAACCTTTTGGCCAGTATTCGGACCGAGCTTCTCAATGCCGCGGTTACCGAGAAGCGAACTGATCAAGACCATATCGAGATGACACTTCACCTGGGGAAAATCAAAGAGCACTGTCCACTACTCCTGTCTTCTGCGCAAGAGACGGAGCGACACAATATTGTCGATAACATCACACGAACGGTAATGACAGACACGACGATATCGGACGACGGCCGCTCGTACCTCCTCAAGAAAGGGAACAATATCCAGATGCCGCTTAGCGTTCTACATAGCGATGAAAAAGTATGGGGCGCCAACCCTGAAAGCTGGCAAGGTGACAGGTTTCTGGAACTGGGTTACAATGCATCATCACCGCCTGGTTTCCTTCCTTTTGGAGGGGGCAAACATGTCTGGTACGTGAATTGATTCTCTCTGGTTTGATGATTTACACTGACCGTGCATCTTTGTGAAAGCCCTGGCCGCCACCTTGCCAACGGACTTCTTCTTGGCATTGCTGCGCAAATGATACTCGGTATTGATTTAGAAGGTACTGACGGCGGGCCCGTTAGGGTCCCAAAAGCCCAAGTCCCTTGGGCAACGACTGGCATAGGGAGGCCGAAGCCCGGACCAGACTCAAGAGTCAGAATCAGTAGGCGAGAGGCTTGGAGGCACGTGAAATGGTCTGTGGCATATTGAGATGCAAGACTGGATCAAGCATATGATACGAAACATTCTCTTTTGAAGCCACTTACACTTGGTCGGTGAAGGAGTTTCGACTCTATGTCCTTAGTTTGGTTCCGGTAGCATCGAGTACCTGCACATAGTACAATGAATTCCTTTGGTGCATTGCCAACTTCATAAGTAGTCATAAGACGTCTTCGCTAGCCCTTTGTGACATGGAACACTTAGGTAGTGTAATTGAATTGCATCGATCGCGACTTCGTGTATCCAAACCTTGCGGAGCCGTTAGGGTAGTCAAAATGGCTGCGTCTCCGCTGTGGATACGCACAACAGCAACTGACTATGAGCTGGATACCTGCAGAATTTTGCATCAACATCCGATATGGTGTAGTGGCCAACATGATGCCCTCTCATCTTGTGAGAGGTTAGGCATAGCCCCGAGTTCGATTCTCGGTTTCGGAAATTAGCAAGATGTGTCCCAAGCGGCTTAACTTTTGTTTTTCGCGGTAGAAACTACTTTATGTCTCATTATCTATCCATGCTTTTTCTAGATAACTTACACTTGACTTACCCGACTGGATTCACTGAATTACCTGGTCATGTATAAGTCATAGGTGAAAGTATTTGCCGACAACGACTACTACGACCATGCATGCATATTATCTAACACACTTACAAGTCTCGCTATGGTCGCGAAGTATTGAGTCAAAATCAATGGCTTTTTCACTTTGGAGTAAGCACCGTTTAGTGAATAGATCAGAATGCCGCTGGTGGTGTACTGGGCGGTCGGGCACTTGATCTAAACCCCGTGAAGCTGACTCTCTCGCCGTCGAGCGGTGCATACCCCGCGGGATTGACGCATGCATTTCGGGACGGCATCAATTCGGATCGCGGAATGTCGGCGATTGGAAATCAATAGGCCCCACAATCGATGCCGAGCCCGGTAGTGGGTCTCGGACACTGCGAGAAACAGCTTAGAAATCCTGAATGACTAATGGCCACTGCCGCGGGTTCATGGTGATGCAATCATCCAGTCGTCTCATTCGCGCGCCCTATTACGCCCTACGAGTCCTCCTTTTAAACTCCCGTCTCCTGACCCCCCACGGCATTGTGTAATTCAACATCAACCCTGCATTTGACGTGAATATAAGGTACTATTATGAGCACAATCCTACGACGAACTTCAATACTCACATCATCAATCAAAACCAGTCTCAGAACCAACAATATTCCCCGCATCATCCACACTAGACCCCTCGCAACAATGACTACCGGCAACTTCCGCTATCTAGACCCCGCGACTCTGGAGGGCAGCAAGCCCTGGGCAAAGGTCGATACAGACGTAACCTCTTTTAGCCGGCTCGAGCGCCGCCGCTCAGTGGTGAACATCCGCGAGTCGACGGAAGAGTTCGGCACCGACGTCTCCGGCTTCGCCGTGTACAACTCACCTGCTAAGGAGAAGGACTTCATCGACGATGAGGCAGTGCGAAGCGGCTACTATGCCGAAGTGGAGGCACTCCTGAGGGAGAAGTTGCCCGGTGTGAAGAAAGTTGTGATTTTTGACCATACCATCCGGAGGAGGGAGAAGAGCAGCCCCAGACAGCCGGTGCAGCAGGTGCATGTCGACCAGACGCCCGGCGCGGCGGAAGCGCGTGTTAGGAGGCATGTTCCGGGAGCTGAGGCGGATGAGCTGATCAATGGACGGTACCAAATTATTAATGTCTGGAGACCGATCGGACACCCGGCGAGTGACTTCCCGCTTGCGGTGATTGACTGGCGGACGACGGAGCCCAAGGATCTGATCGCTGTGGATCTGTTGTACCCCAGGAGGACGGATACCGATGACGATGATCGGGGCAAGGAGGTGCTTCCGGACCCGGCTTTGGCGCGGTCGACGGAGAATTACGATGTCAAGGGTGAGTGTGTCCCTCACTGTAGTAGAATTCCAAGCACGTTCATGTCGCTAACATCAATGTAGGCGAGACTTTCTCTGTCGCACCAAGCGACAAGCACAAGCTGTATTACGCCAAAGATATGACCCCTGACGAAGCCATGTTCATCAAGTGCTTCGACTCGAGAAGCCAAGGGCGACCCGGCGGCAAGCCGGGACGGGCCGATTACACGCCTCACACGGCCTTCATTGACCCCAACACCCCCGCAGATGCGAAGGGAAGACAAAGCATAGAGGTTAGATGCTTGGTGTTTTATGAGTAGAGGCCATTTCTTGGAGCACGGGCGCCTGTATCGTTGTACTTGGGTCAGGTACCTACGGGCTGTTGAAGAAAGTCAGGAGTAATTAATATGAGCCATGAATACTACAAAACAAAGCATATCAGAAGCATTGGACTAGTTAAGCAAGTGAGCTTGTAATGTATATGACGGTGAGATTATTTATGGAAATTATCTAGCGAGCGTGGTTGTGTGCATATACTATAAAGTGGACAATGGGTATCTAAGTATGATGCTGGCATATGTACAGCGAACGGCGTAGTTGCAAGAGCAGCAACAAGACGAGGTTGAACACGAGCTCAAGAGCCCGATTAAGTGAATGAGGAGCAAGATTAAGTGGACTGGTAGACGGCAACATAGGCGGTCTCCATCATGCTTCCCCAGCCGCCAATGGTAGAGCCATCCGGGTTTCCGGGCTGTAAGCAGTCAGTCAAACCATCGCCAACAAGCTTTTGTAACGGCATCGACATACCCAGTTACCGCCGACGGCGACATTCAAGATAAAGAACAACGGCGCGCGAGCCAACGTGTTCCAGATACCCTCGCTCCCGATCCTGGCGCCGCTGATCTGATGAAACTGCTGCCCGTCACGGAACCACGTAATCGTCTCCGTCTGCCAGTTGCCAGACCGACGATCGATCTGCAGACGCCAAGTGTGCCACCCCTGATCCGGGATGCCAATGTTACCGCCGATACCGTTGGGCTCGTTACACGCGCCGCCGGGAAGGATATCGCAGTGGACGGTCCCGTACCCCGTCAGCTGCCCGTTGACCGTCTCGAGGATGTCGAGCTCGCCGCAACGAGGCCAGCTGACGCCGTTGCGGATAGCGTCGCCGAGAATCCAAAAGGCGGGCCAGATGCCCTTCTTGTTGGCGATGGCGTTGTCGCCGAAGCGGATCTGGGCCTCGGCGACGGTGAGGCGGCCGGCGGCGGGGGTGAAGACGTAGCGGGACTCGATGCGGCCCGAGGTCCAGGCGCCGTTGCCGTCCTTTTGGGGCACGATTTGAACGGTGCCGCCGCCTGAGATTTGGAGGTTGGAGCGGGAGGTCGTGTATTCCTGGATCTCGTTGTTGACGTGAAGGTTGGTGATGATGTTCCAGTTGCCGCCGTTAATCGGGTCGCCTGAGGCGCCGGGGAAGCTATCTTGCCAGAGGCGGGTAAGGCCAGAGTAGTTTGGAGAGTCCCAGGCCCGGGTGGCGGCTGGGAGGAGGAGGAGGAGGGTTGAGAGGATGGAGTTTGAGTACATTGTTGCGATGATGCAAAGCTCTAGGAGCTAAGGAACCGTAGTTGGTGTTCTGGATGTCTGGTCTTGCAAAGATGGCTTCAAGGAGTGAATAGAGTTTGAAGCAGACTACTTATCCAAAGTGAAACTGAAAGGACTGTGACGAAGAAGGTTTATAAGAGAGAAGAGAGAGAGACTGTGGCTATTCGAAAAGGAAAGGCATGTCTCGGGGAGAGGCACAAGATCACGATGGTGGATGTTGTCGTCGGGGGGAAGGGCGCACGAGGAGCGGGTTGAAGGACCATGAGGACAGAACGGGAAGCATTCATCATGGGACTTGCTGTATATATACAATAGGAAAAAGGCCAAGTGTGAGCCTGCAGACGTAACATTGAGCGATGCGTGCCGCGTTGGCCAAGGACCAAGGGTTCTCCTCTGCCCAGCCCTTGGAACAAAGAAGGGCCACCTCAGCGGCGGGAGCAACCCGCATGTCGAATCTAGACTTGCCTCTTCCAAGTCGTAGTGGTACTGTGCTGTAGTCACCGCCGCCCGGTGGGCTACGGGGAGGAGAATTGTCCCTTTTTTCTTCCCTGTTTAATGACAAGAGTCCCCGAGTCTCAGAGCTGCGTCCAATCTTCAGCAGAGAACGGAGGTCTCAAGGAGGGTGGATGGTAGTCTGGTTCATATATGCTTACCCCCTGTGCTCTCTCCGTCGTCTAGTGTTGCACAGGGCAAGGCAAATCGGACTTGGATGGTCCGGTCTAGAATATCAGATGGCACATGTACGTCCCCGCTACTCACCTCGAAGACCGTGCCCTAAGCCCACGAGAATGGGTGCACCACGCGGTGTAGGAGTGATGGACGGAGGAAGCGTGCTCCTCTGAGACATGGTCCGCCGCGGGACACACTTCCACATCCTCGGTGGCTCCAATATCTCGGACGCTGGTGCCCCCTTGCGCTCTGATCACGGCCCGTCCGGTCTGTCAATCGCGGATTCGCGGTTGGCACGGCCAATATTCCGAGATGAGACGGGCGCATAAGCGGAGCGCAGACACTTGTGGCTGGCTTGACAAACGTGCATAGTACATGTAGTTTGGCTAAAAAGAAAGATTAAGGCTCTTCAAGGGTGACCAATAGAAGTCGAGAAGGACCAACTGAGCCGAATATGTCCCTGTTTCGAGAAACACCGGGGGAACTGGCATGGCTTTTGGGCCCCCAAGTGTCCCTTCGGGAGAGGCTTCGTTTCATTTTGGACATCTGCCAATCGGCGACGGAAGATGGCAAGGCTTTAAAAGCGCCCCGCGAGCGGAAGAAGGGGGACCACGGGGATGTCGAGGGATCGGTACCAGCGGCGCGGCCCCGAGGCCTGTGGTTGGTTGCGGCTTGAACAGACTGACCCTGGCGACGGCCACGCGGGAAGTGGCGTTCGGCCGCCCTTCCTAGTCCATGGAAGAGGAAAACCCCCAGGAACCCGCAGATGATTCCAAGGTCTGAGCCTGCTTCGCTTCGGCAGACCTTTGCTATTGTCATATTGAGCTCCCTTCTCGCCTACGGTCTTGGGGTCTTGGGAGGTGGACTCCGTTGCCAAGCGGTACATTGTTTTCGTCACGTCCAGTGATTTTGCAGATGGACCCCAAGACTGACGGAGAGACATCAGGCGAGAGATATTGGTGACCTTTGTGTGACGGAGCCTAGCGAGAACATATGGGAATGGCGGTACCTGAACGCCACCGCGCTAGCGGCAGTTGTGCAAATCAGTCTAGTAAGCTGCAAGATCTAGACACCTGCCTTGCGCACATTAGTTGTTGCCCCCCTTTTACTTCTTGTCATGTTTGGCGCAATAAACCAAGTGCTTGGTGTTGGAAAAGGTGACGTTGCAGGCTCCGAAAGACTGCACGAGGTAGCAAATGCGGACAGCTGCGCTTTTGACAGGCTCAGTGTCTTAGCCAGTCGCTCTCCTCTTGGGAAAAGGGGGAAGATGGGGTTCTTGTGGGTATAATCCGTTCTGCACCTGACTTTCTTGTGTCCAAACAAGGCCAGTTTCAGGGAACCCTTCAATCAGCCAGCCCAAAGAGTTCTCTTCTGACTGGCCATTCGTCCAAGTTGGGGAATTAAAAGGGCATGTGAAAAACGCTCGATGGCACCTTGCCAACATAGCTTTAGTGCGGGTGAGGCGCCTAAGCCAATGCGAATAACTCCCTAGGTTGGTAGCGATTCGGAGTCTGATTGGTTGGGGTCAAAAGTGCAAGGGGGACCGTGATCCTGAAGGGGAAATCTCTTTTGGTGTGGTGGAAGTGTGTGGATGAGTGGATTGGACTGGACGCGTGCGTGGCATCAACATAGGGTTGCAATAGAAGAAAGGGAAAAAAAAAAAGGGAGGGAAGAATCTGACGATTGGAAAACTTCAGACATGTCGCGTCATGGGGAAAGCCTCATGATTCATGTAGTCGCTTTCTCATTACTAAAGGGCATCTTGCTTCATGACAGTGCAAGTCAGCAGCTCTCGGTCACTGGGCCGGCACTTGGTGGACCTCCCGACCCGTAAGCCGGCACTAACCCCACAATCCCCCGCGGTCTTGAGATTCGGTGCTTGCGGTATCACTTCGGCGCGATCGTCTCAGTAGGCTGGTCATGCGACCAGGTCACGTTCTCAAGGTGTATAGAGAGGTAAATCAATGTGCATCAAACATCATTGCGCTTGTCACAACTCTACCTCTATCTGCCGAGAGTGATGAGATAATAACGCTCTTTCGCGGTGATCAATTTCCTCCGAGATTTTTGCCTGGGTCACGCTGTTATGGGGCATGTCTGGTAGTTGAGGGTGGGTTCGCAAACTTCAATATGTCTCATGGGTGTTGACTCGCTCATTGGGACCGTGAACCAGACCAAAAGGACGACTTGAACCCAATGGTGTTCGCGGTACAATAACTACCTTTATTTGGGCCCTCCACCTGGGCTAATGGAAGACAGAAATAAATCCAAAGTTAAGAGAAGAATAATTGCGTAAAGAACTGCATTCCAAGCGGCGTCGGTTCTTTGGTTCTGGCGAGCATGACAGACAACTTCAATATTTGGGACCCTCGGCTACCTTTCCACTTCACAGGGCACTTGAAGCTGATTGTGGACCATCTCTCTGGAATCAAGATTACTATTCCGCAAGGATGTGGGAACTGTCTCAAGATGTTCTCAGATGAGTTGACAAATGCACGCAGTGTGATGACAGCAGCTCTCAAGTGCATAGCACCTCTCTCAAAGGACCAGCAGATGCATCTCGAGAAACGGGCCTCCTAACTTGGGCTGAGAGTAGAAAACGTCATGGACAAGGGCACGATGCACATGTTGTATGCACTCGGCAGCTGAGTTGTTTAGTGATTTGATTCTTCTATGTTCATAGAGGAAGAGAGGTATCACGTGTAATTACACATTTCTGTTTCCACACGTTCGCTATTAGGCTTTCGTCTATCTAAATTACCTTATTCGAGGTCAATTATGACTGTTTCTATTCCCTGGCACTACCTTGCCCTAGCAAGGGCTTCAATAACGATGTCGTATGCAGATTTTATAGTCCTTCAAACCTATGATAAACTGGGCAACAAGTTGAGGAAATAGAACATGGAGTTAACGTTCGTATATTAATTTTACTGGCCTGAGAAAACACCACAGGTGATGTTTAGCAACTGTCTTATTAACATTACATGACCTTGGTAAGGCATAGAGTAAGGTAGATGACGCTATCACGACAATTCTACACGTCAAGACTTCCCCTATAGACGGGCCATAGCTTGCTCTAGATTTTCCACAACTAGTCATTCATAAAGGAAAAAAAAGCGCGGCGTACGAGGAAATACGCAGAGAATTATAAGAAATATAAGAAGGTCCAAAACACAAAAGAGTTCACCCCCCCGGTACTGAACTGGGGGCTACATCTCTGGTGCTCATGCTGGGATTCGAACTTGGATACTCGTATGCGCTAAGCCTGTCGTCGAGTAGGCTGGTTGGCGAAGATAATTGATGTTGACCATTAACCATTCCACCACCACGCCACAGTTTGACCTGACCCCCGGCCTAGGGGGCGCCTGCTGTGCTGGTGACAGGAATTGCGCTGGAGGGGTATATGAGGGCTTGTTGTGTATTCTGGTGGCAAAAAAAGTTATCGGATGAAGGTTTGTGATGTGGCTGGGTGAACCTCAGGAAGGCGCGGCGTTGGTGATGTGGATGGTGGCTGCCCTGGCAACCATTGCGGTTTACCTTATTCACCTCAGCCATACGCTCAACAGTCTCGGGGTCCAGTCTCAGGTAAACACATAAAAAGCACGTAAATAAGCCAAAGTTTATGGTAAACCTCCATAAGTACCTCGACCTCGACATCCCTGGATGACCTCTTGTTGCAGTCAAGCCAGGTGGCTTGTAGCCATCGGCGAAGTCACATTTCTGGTTTCAAGTGCTGACATTCGTGATATCTCCTTGAGTATGTTAAGTTCCTGGATGCTCATTAGTGCTACACATACAAAATGATAACCAATGCCAATAATGATGCACCCATGATGGCAAGACAGCAACCTTGGCCAAGGAGCCTTGCACGATGTGAAAGGAGAAAAGGCCAATTCATTTACGACGTTTGAATGAAATGCCGCCCAATCATTCCAATGTGCTATTAGTAGTATTCACTGTTAGGATCTAGACTTGCGAAGAGCATGGTCTCCGGCGTGGTTTGGGTAGATAATAACATCTACTCCTTGTTAAAAGCGGGACCAGCTACGTCGCACAGTCCCAGTTCAGTGACAAAGTACCAGTACTTGAGGTCTACATGTATGCCCTTATGTTATCATTGTACGGACGAATAATATAGCTCCCACCAAAACATCAATGGTATGTCCAATCAGTGTCTTGCTATGGACTCTTCTGAAGTATTGACTACTGCCGTCACTTCGGCGGTCGTAGTCTTCCCGGTAGCGTCAGTAGGGGCATCAACGTAGCTACCATCGTGGCTGCTGCCGCTTTCAAGCTGCGCATGCTTCGCTTTTCTGTAACGCACATGTTAGAATATCTATTCTCCTGAGGTTGTAAGGCAAGACCTACTCTTTGCGTTTGATATAAACATCGAGAACGTGCGTCGCAACAATGAGCGCAACAGCACACCCCAGACAGAAAGAGAATCCCTTGGGATAGCTTGGAGACTCAACAGTCGGGAATGTTAGCAACGGTGTCCAGGCTGTCGACGACTGGGCAATGATGGTGATCATGACAAGGGTGAATGACCGCTGTTCCGGAGAGTCTCTGAGGATGGTGTTGACCCAGCCGTGCAGGACACTGGACAGTGCGTTGGACCAGTACATCGTCGAGAAGGCGAACCACTTGGCACCCTCGGGCACGTCCCAGACGACAAGCATGATCAAGCCCGTGACATTCCATAATGAGGAAAAGGTGATAGCCCATGCAGGTCCGAGTACCAAGTCAGACAGGAAGCAGGCCACGATGTTGTATAGGATCCCCAAGGCTGGCGCAATGGTTCCCATCTCATTGACCTGCGCCGGACTGTAGCGGCCCAAGCTCTTGATCCAAAGCAGGAAGCTGCCTGTGCTCTTATGGATACCGGCGTTCCAAAACAGCACATCGACAAGCACAACCGTCCAGAACTGCGGGCTGAGGAAGATCTGTTTGAGGTGTCCGAGCTTAAACTTGCCGCGGGTGACGTGCCCGCCGCGTTCAAGGCGAGATTTTGCAATCTTGATGTCGTGCTCATTGAGGATCCAGCGGTTCGGTTGTTCTACAGTGCCCGGGAGGAGAAAGTATCCGAGAATGCCGACAGGGATAGTGATGATCGCGCAGATGATGTACATCCAACGCCAGCCTGCCATCCCGTTGACACCTTCAAGACGGTGTGATGCTCCAGCTGCGATGAGGCCTGCCGTCAGGGTTCCGAGATTGAGTCCCGTGTAAAAAATACCTCCTCGCCGTGCAATTTCGTGCCCGCGATACCAAGAGCCTTATGTTGGGGTCAGCATTCTACTTCTCCAGTCAAAAGAGGCCAGTGATATCTCCTACCGAATACGTAGTGCATAGCGGGGAAGAAGGCTGCTTCGAAGAAGCCCACCATGAATCGGTACGCCGCCAGCTCCCCGAATGAGTGTGCTCGGTATTGCAGCAGGGTGAAAAGTCCCCAAAGGATATCCATCGCGGGGATGGTCCAGTACATGGGGATGTAAGTGAACAAGAACATGAAGGGCACCATGCCAACAACTGCGCCGACTGTATACATTGTCTGGAGTTCGACGAGCTCATTGCCTTTGAAGCCAAGCTCCTCTTTCATTCCTCCGACGTAGGCATTGTCTGTTTTGAATTAGCATGACGTTGCCAGATAGAAGGGGCAGAGGCTATCAACGGTCGTGAACATACTCAAGTTTGCTTGGTCTGTGTTACGTGTTAGCAGACCGACAGCCAATGAATGGAGAGCAAATGGCCATACCGATATACTTGACCCAGTACGCTAGAACTGCGTAGGGCACGACAATGAGATCGAGTTTGATGATGAACTTGCGCTCTTCGGGGGTGTCATCGTCCGAGTACCACTGGATCTTCCACCACTTCTTCCTGGGGACAGTATTGTCTGCTGTCGCCATGGTTGCCAGACACCTATGAACACACTTTCAAGTGTCTTCAAATTGATTCAAAAAGGCGGAAGGAACCAGGTTGAAAACTGAAAACTCTATTTCAAGGTCACCCAAGTCACCGGGTCTGGTCCATAGATATTAGCTGAATGCTGCCGACCGTGGACACCCCCTGCTGGGGAAAATCCAACTTCACTATCGATTGCGCCAGAACATCTCGGACTTGTGCCATGCGAACCGCCCGTCAACCATACCCGGATTTGTGGGTAGATTCCCTCCCACCAAGCATCCCCGGAAGTCGGGGAGCACCCGACATCGCCAGAATGAAAGTCTTTTACCAAGGGGCCTCGTGCTTGGAGGGGTTGCATATGAAAAGACCCTGCCGGGAGTTGGCCGACATGCTGAGCATGGCGCGGGGGTTCTACTCAAAGAATGAGACGCGCGTGGGGCGCGTGGCTGGCAGGAGGGTGTGGTGCGTCCAGACTCGATGGCCTTAGCTCGAGTCGGCCCAACGTCGTATGGATTATTGAGTGTGCTGATTCCAACTTGCTCTAGGGTGAGGATTAAGCCGGCAGCTGAATCTCTCGAAGGATTCCCAAGTGGCAATTGCGGAGTATGCCGCTGTAATTGTCCCTTGTCTGCGCCGTTGACCGGCAGGCCAGTAATGACGTGCTTAATGGCCTTGATGGTGTTAGATGTCACAGCCCGCGTAATCAAGCCATTGGTCTTACCTTACCTCATGATAACGCCCCATACCTTGCGCGCCAAGTACAGCTAACATAGTCGTCTCCTCGTTTCCAGATAGCTAGATTTCCTTGCGAAAAGAGATGTCTTTCTGAAAAGTGAGTTCGGAAATTGCCTTTAACACCTTGAGAGAACAGCATGCTTTACATGTGTGAGTGCATAACATGAGCTTCATCGCCAAAGCCCGCCCTCTTTCAAGGCTATTGGTTAATGTTGGATAAGCTTGTATTTGAGACAGCAACACAACCAAAAATCAAAGTCGGAGCATGTCACCTGCAATGAAGTGGAGATCTCGGCCGAGTTCACATCCCCGCTTCACTGGTACGGGCCGGCTTGACTGATGGATGTTGAAACTCGGAAAGGGTCGTGATATCAAGACGTGGAAACGGGGGTCTTCATCTTCATATATTGAGCTGACTTCTACTGCGCTACATACAAAACACATATTACCTAACTAAGCCTGACGTTTTGCCTCGACCTCCAGCTCAATCAACATTCCCGGAAGGGCCAGGTGAGGCACAGCAATTGCTGTCCAGATAGGTCGATGATCGGGAATCCGTGCCTTCAAGCCCTGGACGATAAAATCGAAAGAGGTCCGGATATCGCATGAATATGACCTCAGTGAGTAGACGTCTTCCCATCCTCGGAGGCCCGCTGCCTTGAGGACAATGTCGACGTTCTCGATCGCCAGCTCAACCTGTCTTTTGGTGTCGTTCGCGTCGAGCGCGCCCGTCTCCGGATCCCAGCCACCTTGTCCAGCGCACTTCACGATGCCGTTGCCGAGGTCCACGGACTGTGAGTAGTGGCAGGCCTCGCCATAAATCTTTCCAGCGCCAGGAGGGGTGTTGAACTTGATTGAAGACATGGTTCTAGCTGTGTGGTGGGGATTCTGTGAGAATCATAATCAGTATCTAGCTCCGGGAAAACCAATCCATGAATACATTGAAATCTTGCGATTTATGTGTAATAGAATATCTCAGAAACTCGCATACCCAGGAATTACACTGAAGGATTTGCTCCTACTGTTGACTGAGAGCAGAGATGTGGGTCTCCGAGGTCAAATCTGTCGGGTTCTTGGGGCGTTTTCAGGTGATGTGTACTTAGGTAGTATGCGGAAAAGCAACTGAATTCTCATGCAGAGGAAGATTAAGCGTCGTAAAACATGCTCTAAATGATGCAGCGTCGTCATTATGTAGGCTCATTGCTGAAGCCCCAGCATCATCCTCAATCATCGGATGTTTGGAGAAGGGGTCACCGACTTGGAGAAGTCACCGACAAAGTGGGTCGGGGCTTTGTTTCCAGCAGTGTTTGTGGGGAGTCCGCGTACCATCGTGATATGCTGTTGCAACCTGACATCAGCTGTACCTCGGCGATTTTTGCTCTTTGACGGAATGAACGGGGCCCTCTGGTGTCAATGCCTAGTCGGCTGTTCGTTCGCGAAATGCAGCGTGTGATATGGTCTAATGTGGAGTTGCTAGAGACTCGCTCTGAAACTCAGCCAAGATGTCAAGAGTTTTCCCCAAACGTGTTGCGAATGCCTTTGTCTCAATCCCCTGTAAGACACTCCCCTAGAATTTCAAAGTCGACCACGACAATGTTCCTGCGTCGCGGTCAAGTGGCAACTCTTCGGCGTCTAGCAAATGTTGATGTGGCCGTGCCGAGTAATTTGACTGAACGTTGGTATGCTGCATCTTAACCGTTGGTCAGTGAAAAGGGCCACGCAAGATCAAACAATGCTCTCATCAACGAGTTGGACCTCACCTTCTTTCAGAGAAGATACAGTGGCAGTATACTTCTCAAGCCACTTGCTGAGGAACACGGCAGGTTCAAATGCCCACAAAAGGGCGTGCAGTAACCATGAGCTTGCCTGTTGACGGACGTACTGCTGAAGGCTGGTACTAGCAGACTCTTCCAAACCTTGTGACAATGCTCGATACTTTGCAGCAAATACCTAGCAGGTGGTTTCTCAAACCGAAACTCAAGCTCCTTGAGTGATGCTACGAGCTGTGATGGATCTGCCGCATAGTTCAAATCCGAGGGGAAAACAGCTCAAAGCTGGACGTGACAATCGAGACTACAGTTGCCTTGTGCTTTCCATAACATTGGCGAAGCTGTCATAGAAGACGTTTGAAGTCGCAAAAGACCGATGAATTTTCCCAACATCACTCTGCGAAGTTGTGTATTAGATACTCATACAGTCGATCTCCAATACCTTTTACTCGCATGAGTCGAGCATGCTCCGAGATGAGAATCTCTGAAGGTATCCCAAATGTGAATGCATCTTTTCAATTCTCATGCGTAATAAGTACAAGACAGTAAAATGAATTGAACATCGGGCGGGAGTTTGCTCAATATCAACTCAGTTTTAGAAGCGCACTTGCCGGCTTCGTCATTATAATCGTAGGCCAAGACATCGAAGAGAGTAACTACATCGCCAGTATGATAGAGCCCTCGAGATTGATCTCCTTCGACCACGAAATCACGAGAGAGCAGAGAGCTTAAGGAGCGGTTGAATGCGCGTTGCAAGCCATCTGATTGTGATGCAATAGAGAAGCCTCACAAGAAGCCGTCGACGACAAGGCTACAAATAAGAATAATGCGGCTACGTTGAAAAGTTCGAGTTGAGTCCGAATCAGAATCAACAGACTGCTGGTCTGTCGGGACATGAAATCTCGAAAGTCTGGAGTAGAAGAAGATTGCAGTAGCGCAAACCTCAAGTTCTTGAACAACATCGACGGGCTGCGCTACTCAAGAAATTCAGCGAGTAAGTGGTAAGGTAGGCGATGAGAGTGTCAAAGGAAGTCCGAGATGTGCCAGTCGTTAAGGTACGTCGCTAACAGCCTTTCTAGAGTGGGTTAAATCGCTAAAATGACTGCGAAGACCCCTGTCTCGATCTGTCCATCTATGATTCTTGAAAGGCGAACCGTCTGCTCGTTGTGAAAAGGGGAATGACATTCCGGACTTCGCACAGATGTATTGCTGACAACGCATGCAGTGCGGAATTTGTGATGAAATCGAGCCCGTGTATCAGAACGTTGTTCTGAAAAATCGAAAATGTGCTGTTCTTGACGTATCTTCAAGATGCAAGGCATCGATCACACGCTCGCTCACATGATGTTACAAAGTCCGGGTATTTCTTTTTTCCTTTCTTAATAGGAGAAGGAGATAAATTGGGATGATCTCAATGATACAAGGTGCACTAGGTGTAAGTGTCACAGGACACAGGTGTATGATTTATGGTATTGGAGCGCGTTAGAACATTAAGCTAGCTACTTTAGAGACCGTCTGAATGGATTTTATATTTGGCTTCACAGCAAATCCACCATCGCCTGACTATCCTGTGGCCGATCTATGGTCACTCCATCGCCGTACTCAGCACAGAACCTAATCCAGAACGCATCTAGAATATTCGAGTTCACCCAAGTCTAGCCTAACAACTACTATCACCTCCGTCTTTGAAAGCCACGATGCCTCCGGAAACGGACTGATAAAAGGTTCCACAGGGGCCCAAGGCGCCGCTGTTCCAATTGTCGTTGAAAGCGCCACCGCTGCCAGCGCGCACCTTGAACTTTTCTTCGCCCGTAACCCAGGAGCGGCCCATGAGATACCACACGTACTCGTCATCCGTCATAGCACGCTGGTCGTCCTGGACATAGTGGTAGACTAGCCCGTTGTTGGTGGAGAGCACAGACACGCCCTTGGACTTGGTATCTTTGGTCCAGCGCACCGAACAGTTGCCGTGCTCGTCGACATCGACGCGCGTAATTCCGCCGGCCATACCTCTCATGCTGTTGAACTTACCATTCATGTCCTGTCCGTCCTGGCCGGTGAAAAATGCTGGCCCGCCGTACGAGTTGAGTATCATGATTCCGGACTGTTTTTGCTGGGTATCATAATGAGCTAGCACGCTGTTCTGCACTGAGCCCTTGTTGTCCATAAACAACGGCACCTGACACAAGAGCTGAGCGCTACTTTCCGCCTGTGGCGCTTGATGGTACACATTGAGATGCAGGCGAGGAGTATCGTTGTCGGTGATGGCCACATACTTATCGGCAATCAACGCGGGCGTCGCACCGGAGCCGCGCGCCGAAATAGCCGTGTTGGGGTCAAGTTCGGTTCGTTCACCTGCGGAATAGGGAACTCGCCAACGTGTGCTAATCCCACCTTCAGAGCCGCTTTTAGTCGTCAGCGAATACATGTAGCCCGGCGCATTAGGTGTATTGAATTTGCCAGACGGGCTTGTGACCATGTAAACGTCGGTGCCTGCCACAGCTATTCCATTCTCGACCGTTTCGCCATCAAGCTGAGCCTTGTGTACTTTGTTGCTAGGCGTGATGTAGCCATATGTGGTTGAGTTGGCCAACGTACCGTTGGCGCTGGTGTCGAGCTGCACTGCACCAGTAGTGAACCAGATGTTCTTCTCGATGTCAAACATGGCGTTGAGCAACTGATCACCTTCTTGCAGTTGAGGGCGCAGATCAACGGTACGCGTGGTTTTAAAGTAAGGGCGTCCCTGGCAAGTATCACGATGCACGACCCAGATCATGCCCTGGGCCGAACTGACTAGAACGTCGTTCGTTTTGACAATGTACTCCATGTATGGGATGTTCAGCGCTTGGTTGTCATCTTCTGGGTACCACGCCGCAAGTACGTCCATCGAATCCGGATCCAGTGCCACCAGTCCGTACTTCAAGGTGGTTGTATTGATGTAGCCCGACGTCAGTTGATTGTCTTGGCCCCAGAGGAAGACGAAGGCAGGCTGGGCTTTTGCGCTGGTGCGTGTCTTTACACCGCGCGGTCCGGGAAAGTCCTGACTGCCGGAATTGCCGCCATCGCTATGCAGCGATGACGCTTCCGGAAGCCAGATGAAAGGGGCCGATAATGGCTTGCATTCAGCTGCTTCGCCGGTGAATGGGACACTTGTAAAATTCTGGGAATTCTCAAGTACTGGAAATTTGGGATACGAAATAGGGGTAGGAACGTCCTGAAAGTGGAAAACCGAAGGTCAGAATAAGTAACAGAGGCCTTACGATAAGAGAAAGTAATCATACTTGACATGAACCCGCAGGTTTTGCTACAATTCGGACGCTTCCCATTGCTAGCAGGGACGACCATAAGGGTACTCGGAAAAGGAGCATAATGGCGCAAGCTCTGTGCTAGACAACTAGCGAAGGGAAGATGAAACGGAGATTGATGAAAGTCAGAAGAGGGTGCTGTATAGTGCTATTTGGTGAACGAATGTTGATGCCGATGGGCAGTGGCATCGCACCGGCTTTAAATCAAAGACCCAGGCAGCCAAGAGCAAGTCGTCTAGCGAATCCGTTATCGAATACGTAGATCAGGGATAGCTGCGGGCTGACAGGTTGCGAAGCTTCAAGATGACGTGGGAGAACCAAATAGCTCCGCAGTTCGCTCTTTCATAATAATATCCTGGCTATCGCAGTGCTAGATTGACACTAGAATGTGTAGTTACAAGACTGACGGACACCTCGCGTTCGATCCGAGGCGCTAACTTATAGTAAGGCGGCTCTTCATACCATCGCATGTCAAAGCGATTGGGCAACTGGAGTGACACTGTCGGATTGGAAGTCCAATTCGACTGCGGCATATAGCCGACTGCGCAGGGGCTAATTAGGGGCCCTATTTACGATTATTAAAACTAGCCTAACCTATAGTTAAAACCTCCTTTTTATACTTATTACGTAGATATTTATATAGTTTAATTAATCTCTTTATTAACTTATAATTCGAACTAACTACTTTATAATAAAAATATTAATACTAATTAGTAATTAAATTCTATTATTATAAATTAATAAGGTATCTCGCTATATAAAAAAAATAACCTCTTAATATTATATAAAATAGGAGATTTATATTAATTAATTTTATAAAAAGAAATAAAAAAAGAGGTAATTTTTAAATACTATATAGAATTAAGTAATCGTAGCTTTTTATTACTTATAAAAAGTCGACGTTTATTATATTAAACTATATTAATTAATAAAACTACTTAAGTAATTAGTTTTTTATTATTACCCCGAGTAGCTTTTTTATTAAATAATTTCTTTATAGCCGGCCTATAATTAGAAATTAATTAATTAAATTAATAAAAAAAATATTTATATAATAACTACTTATTTAATTAATTAGTATAATAAACGAGTTTAATAATATAATATAAAAGAGTATTACGTAATTAAAAAAAGGATTTTTAAACGTAAATATTTTTACTTAGTAATAAAAATAATTTTATAAGAGTTATTAAGTTAAGAAATTTATAATATATAGAAAAGTCTATTATTATAAAGATTTTATAAGTATAATTTTAAGCTTACGATTTATATAACCTTTTTATAACTCCCTTAATTATTTCCTAAATATTACTTAAGAATATAATATAGGGAACGGTTTAATAAAAGAGGAGGGGATTTAGAAATTTTAATAATATTAAGTTAAGAGTATTATAGATCTTAGAAATTAATTTAAAAAAAAGGTAGCTATTTTAAAATAGTCCTATAACTTCCTATTAAAATTATTATTAGTTTAAAAAAAGGTTAAAAAAACGAAGATTTAAAAAAAAAAATTTTTTTTTTTAAAAAGTTATTAAAAAGTTTTTTTTATATTAGCTCCTAGCGCGAGATTATTAATTTTAAGAAATTAACTAAGTAATAAAAAAGATCGTTAATAAGTAATAATTACTTAACTATAATTAAGCTATAAAAAAGACTATTTAAAAAATATAAAATAAAGTATTAAGAGGCTATAAAAAATAAGATTTTTAAAATATTTAACCCTATTATGTATAAATAATAAGTAAGTATTTTTAATAAATCCTTAAAATTTATAATTTTATAAAAAAAAGAGCTTAACTTAGTTAACTATATTTAATAGCTTATATAGTTTTTAATAGCTTATACGGCTCTTTTATAAGCTACTTAGCGTTTATTTTTAATTATTTTTATAAAATATTATTTTAAAAGAGGTAGGTTAAAAAAGGAGGCTATTTAAAAATTATAAAAAGTATGAGGCTTAAGAAGCTAAAAATATAAAAAATAATAAAAATTAATAATTAATAAAAATCCTAAAACTAATTATTATATCTTTTTATAATAATATAAACGTTTATTATTATTATTAAAAAAAGGAACTATTAAAGCTTACTTTTTTATATTAAATAAAAAAGAGGATTTTAATAAGTATAATAATTAGTAATTTATAAGAGTAATAGTAATTACTAAAAATAGTAAAAACGAGAGTAGTAGCGAGATAATAAAAAAAAGCGGGAATTTTCTAAACCTTAATAAATTTATTAAATAATAAAAATATAAATTTATTATAACTAATGCGCAAATTAAATATATTTTTTTTAAAATTAAATACGTTAATAATCGCTAATATAAGTATAAACTAAAGCACGACTCTTAATAAGTTAAGGTAAAAAAAAAAGATAAAACCCGATTCTAAATAAAATCCTAATATTTTATAAATAAATAAATATTAATCCGGATTATTAAGGGACGTAAATATATAAAATCGTAGATTAGCTTAATAATGAGTAAATTAATATAGTATTAATTTATTTAACTAAGGTCTATAAAAAAAAGGGGCTATAAGGGTAATTCCTATTTTATAAAATCGTAAATAACCTTAATTACTAACTAAATAAATAGTTTATAAGCATAAGCCTAAGAATTATAAAAGTAGTTAATAAATTCTTTTATAAACGAGAGGTATTATTAATATAATTATAATTACGAGAACCGTACGAAATTTTAATAATAACGATTATAAAAAAGGAATTTATATTATAAAACTAAGTATAAGTTAATAAGGTGTATAATTGCTTTAATAAATTTAAAAAAAGAGTAAACGACGTAGATTTCTTTTTTATAATTATTCATAATAATTTATTATTATAAAACGATATATAGAGGTAAAATATAGTACTAGAAATATAATAATTAATAATTCTATTTATTTTAATTTATAACTTATTATTATTATTAATACGAAATTCGGTACTAATTAATTAATAAAAAAAGAAGTAGACGATTTAAAATTATTAATAATACGTAATAACGTAGGGATCGTATATAAATACCGAAAATATAGTAATAAATACGAGGTAATTTATAAACTTTAAAAAGATCTTTTTAAAAAAGAAATTATATTTTAAGGGGAAGTATAAGGTTTTATAAAAAACCCTAATAATATTTTATAATTATTATAAAAAAGTTAAAATTAAGGAATATTAGTACTATTTAGTAATTAATATTATATTTATAAATAAAGTTTCTAATTATTATTATAAAGCGGTACGTAATTTTAATTAAAACGACTTTCTTAGTATTATTAACATAATTTAAAGCCGCTTCGAAATTTATAATAAAAACTTAGAGCTCTTATTTAAATTACGAGCGATTTTTTTTATATTTATAACTAAGATAATAAAGAGTAAATTATAAATAAAAATCTTTAAAAAGCTTATTAATCGAATTAATAAGCTAATAAAAACTTAGTTAAATAAGGGAACTAATAAGCGGAAAGTTAAATATTTTTATATTATAATTTAGTATATATTAAAAATAAAAATAACCCTATACTAAGTACTTAAAAACTACAAAACGCTCTATTTAAAGCTAAGATTTAGTTTTAATATTAAAATAAAAATACTATACTAAACTTATTTCTAAGTATATAACGGCCCTTATTAATAATATTAAATTAATTAAAGGTATAATAAAAAAAGAAAAGAGGCTAGATATAATAATTCTTAATAAGGAGACTTAGATTCGTTAAATAGGCCGAGATTTAACTTATAAATAAGGTAATAAAAAAAGTAATATTATATTTATAAAAAAGATAAATATTAATTAAGTAATTATTTTAAAAAAGAGCGTACTAAATTATATAAATAATATAAAAAGTTAAGGGTAATAAATAATAAAACTAACCCTTATTAATTTAATTAATTCCTTATTATATATAAAAATAGATCTAAGGATATAAAACTTAGTAATAGTAGTTAAAGTAGCGGCTTAAAGTATCTACCCTTTATAAAAAATTCGGAAAATAAAAAAAATCTTACCCCCTATACTAACAAATTAAATTATAATAAAATTAATAATATTAACTACTCTTTTTTTATTTTATTAGTTTTTAGAAAATATACGAGGCTAAATAAATAGAGGGTAATAAAAGCTTTTAATAAGTAGGCTTTTTTTTATAAATAATAAGAGAAGGTCCTTTAGATAATAAATATAGAGGTAGCTAAAAGGGCGAATTTAATAAGGCTAAAACCTATTCTCTTAATACTTAAAAAAAAATACTATCTTTTTTAATATTTAAAAAAAAGAAATATAATACTAAGTAAATCTAGGGGTAGTTAAAAAGGTCCTTTTTATATTACTTAGATCTTTTGAATATTAAGCTTATATAAGTATTTTATATAAATAAAAAATATAGCTTAGATAATTTTTATAAAATTATTTTAAATATTAAGGTATTATAATAGTTAATAAGAGGAAAAAGGTAATTCTAAGTACTATAAAAAATCGTATTAATAATACTTAATATATTAATAACGGGTATTACGAAAATTAGCTTTAGTTTAAGTAAAAAAATTATTATCCTAAGTATAGTAAAAATAAAAACGTATTTTAGAACAATAACTTTTTATATTTTACTTATTAATACGCCGTTTTTTTTATATTTAAAAAATATAAATTAACTAGGTATTATATTTAATAATATAAAGAATAGAATCTTTAATAATAAGTATTTTAAAATAGTCGAACGATAATAGGGGTATATATTTATAAAGCTTATTAATAATATAAAGTTAATTAATTATTTAATAAAAAATAAGCTTAGATAATTATATTAAAGATTTAGGTACCCGTTAGTTACGAAGCTATATAATTTCTTAAAGTAATTAAGTAATAATAATATCGAAATAGGGGCGCTAAAGTAGTTAATAAAAGTATATTACTAATATTAAATAAATACGTAGAGCCTACGCAAATTTAAGTTTAAATTACGTAATAAGCTTAATTTTAACTAAGAAATCGTCGTTAATATTTTTTATTTAAATAATTAGCTAGTATTATATATAATCGACGTAGTTATATTTTTTTAAATAGAGTAATTCTTTTAGGATTTATAAATAAAAATAGTATAAGTAGCTTTATAAAAAAGCTAGATTAATATATACTAAGGACCGCTAAATAGTATTAAAACTAACGTTAATATTAGTTTTAAGTTAGTAAGATTTAGGGATAATATAACGGTTTATAGTATATAACTAAAAATCGTACTCGTTAAAGCGTATTATAATATTAAAAAAGTAAAAAGGGTATATTAATAATTAAAAAGGGTATTTAGAATTATTAAAAAAGAAAATCCGGATTTTATTAATAACAAATACCTCTAAATAATACTTAAATATTATAACGATATTATAGGGCCTAATAGACTTATATTAATACTATTAATATTTAGAGTATATTTAAAAATAACCTTAGCCTTATTATTATTATTAAATATAAGTTAACGAGCCTAAGTAATTAAAAAAGTAATATGAGTATTATATAAAATAAGTATAAAAAAATAAGTTAATAAGGTAATTATTATATATAATAGGCCCGATATAGGGGGTAATCTAAATATATTACTAAATTTAAATATATAAGTATAGCGTAAAATTACTTAATAATAAGCTAAGCTATATAAGTTAATTTTTATTAATAAGCGCTCTTATATAGTTATAAAAGATCGTAACTAGCTATTTAAAGTATTAATTATAATAATTAAACCGTATTATATAAATCTTAACGAGGTAATTTTTAATTTATAAAAAAAAAAAGAGCTAGGGGAAATTATATAACTTATAATAGAGGTATAGGAAATTATTCTTAATAAAATCGTTATAGTAGTACTAATAAACGACGAGGAAAAAGAAATTACTAAAAGGGTATTAATATTACTAACGAGACGTTATAAAAGACTATAATAGTAAGCCTTAATATAGTAATTTATTACTAATAATAAAATAATTAATACTTTTATATAATAAAAAAAAAGCCAATTTCGAGCTAGTAGTTAAACTACGTAAAAAAAACGTAATTATAATTATTAAAAAGCTATATAAGGGATTAGATTTTATCGAAGTAAATACTTTTTATAATCGAGGGGTCTATTAATTTATTTTTTACGGCTTAGAGAAGTATATAAACTTTTATATATTTAAATTATGAATAGTTTATTTGTTTGTTTTGGTATTCTGCCTTTACTAGCTACTCGGGCAATTCTCGATATCGGTTATACGGTATTAATACACGATATCAGTAGATACTCACACTGTCTCGCTGGACTATTTTTTTTAGATTTTCCAACTTATTTCCCAAAATTAAAAAAAAAGGAATACCCTAGCTATATAAAAAGTTTAAATACGTAATTTAGGGATATAGTAACGTTAAAAAGATAATACTACTTATATAATTACTTATTATATAGTAATATAATTAACGATTAATAATAGTACTAATAGTATTATTATAAAAAAAGGGATACGAGATTTAGAGCCGTAATATTACCTAAGCCTATATTTAATTAGTTATAGGGCTTATAAAAAAAATCCTAGCTTATTTACTAAAAAAAATAGTTAGTAAGTACTTAAAAAATACGATTATTAAAGTACTTAAGCTATTATATAGGCTTATAAAATCGGGTACTTATTAATAAGCTACTTATTACGATTCTTATATTAATTAATTATTAATAATTACTTCTACGTACGACCTATACTTACTAATCTCGGAGTATAAGAGCGACTAATTTAGGATTATTAAAATATAAATTAATAATATATTAAGCTTATTTAATATTAATTTTATAAAAAAGGAGAATAAGGAGCTTTAAAAAGTAGGCTTTATAATAAAACTAAAAGAGGTCTTTATAATAAATACCTTTTTAATATTTAATAGCGGGATTCTTATTATTAAAAAGGAAATTATTATATTTTAATAAAAGGGGTAGAGTAAAAAAATTAACCTTATTAATTTAAATATAACTAATGTTAAAAAGCGGTATAAAGCTAAGCTCGCGCGAGGGGTATATATTATAAATATTTATTAGCCCGAGGTAACTTTTAATTATATTAAAATAGTATAAATTATAGATCTAATTAAATAAAACGTCGAGGTACTTAATAAGTAGTTTAAGTAGTAATAAATAAATCTTAATTAAGGCCTCGTTTATTACTTAATTAACTTTATAATTAATAAGCTTTATATCTTTATTAATAAGTTATTTATAAATAATAACGACTTTATTTTATAATTAAAATATATTACTATTTTAGTTAATAAGAGTATAAGTAAGAGCGAATTTACTATATATAATAGTTTTTTTTCCGGCTTTATAAGTATAAAAGATCGACCTTAACGGGATTACGCTTTTAAAAAAAATTATATAATACGGTATACTTTTTAACTATATAATATGTATAATATACCCTAAGTACGCGCTTAACGTAATATAGTAATTTTAATACGAAAATTACTATATAATTTAGGATAAGTAAGCTACCCTATAGTAGCGCTAGTTAGAAAAGTCGATAGTAAAAGTCGGTTATAATAATTAGTTATAATAATCGGTTATAATAGTTAGAGGCGGCCTTTTTTAACTATAGAGGTTCTAAACTTTAATAATAACATAGAGGTTTCTAAAAAAAGGGCTAAATAGGCTAATATTTACTACTTTTTAAAGCTTATAAAGATTCTTTCTATCTTTATTATATTACGACCTAATATATATAACTAAGACCAGGGCCCGCCCCGTAAGCTTATAGTAGCTACGGTATACTATATATATAAAAATACGGGAACATAGGGCGACTTTTATAGAATAGAAAAACTATAAATAAGTTACGTATAAATAAAAAGTAGTAATTACGTAATAAAATAATTACTATAATTACTCTAAATAATCGCTTACTAATATTTACTAAGCGATTACTTAACGAATAAAAGTAATTATTAATAAAAAATATATTTATAAATAGACTTATATATAATATAAACTTAAGCTAGGCTTAAAGATAGACTTTTTATAGCTTCTTTAATAATTAACTTAATATTAAATTTTACGATTATTTTTAGCTATTTTTATTAAGAACCCTTTTTAATAAGCTTATAATTAATTACCGAAGCCTTACTTATTTTACGACTTATAAACATAGTTTTAAAAAAGCTATTTATAATTATAATACTATTTACTTAGTACTCGTAGCCTTAACTTCTATTAATATATTTATTATAACTAGCTAGTTATAATACTTTAATTACTCCTATTTAATAAGTTTACTTTTTAAAAAACTAACTAAATAGTATAAATATATTAATTATTAATAATAATAGTACGGCGTAGCTTATTAGGGTAGTTATATTTACTATTTAATAACTATATAATATAATATTTAAATTTAAGAATAAGAATAAGTAGTTTTATATTTAGTTTATAGTACCCTAACCTCCTTTAGTACTTAGAACTAAGTACTCTAAACTAGAACTTTATAATAGGTCCTTAAATACTCTCTAAAAATTCCTTATTTAAACTAGGGCCTACTTATATTACTACGGGACCTCTTTTATTATTAAAATAAATAAGGTTTATTACGTAGCTTTATTTTTTAAAAAGGATACCCTTACTTAGTTCGAACCTTTTATAAAAGACTACTTTAAAAACGAACGTAATATTTAGGATAAAAATATTAAAAAGATCTTTAATAACTATAATAAGTTCGAAAAAAGATTTAAAAAAACTTTTAGTAACCCTAATAAAAAATAAATTACTAAATAAAAGCTTATAACTTTTATATAAAAAGAGTTAGTTAGTAAGTATATTTTTAAATTTAAATAGATTATTTTTAAGCTCGATTAGGGTAATAAAGTACTTATAATAGCTTTTTATTACGGTTTAAAAAAAGAAGTTAAGGATAACTTTTTTTATTAGGACCGACCTAATAAACTCTATAATTATATTAATATAATTATTAAGATTAATAATCGATTTTACGAACGACGTTTTAAATAAAAAGGATAAAATACTTAAAATAACCGAGCTAAACTTAATAATAAATATAAGTATAAACTAATAACTATTATAATAGGGTATTATAGCAGACTAATAGATCTTAGCGTTATTAAAAGGGAATAACCTTATTAAAAAAAGGATTTTAAGTACTATAACTACGATAAACTAGGATATATAGCTAGAAACTACTAATAACTTAAGCGTATTTAATACTAACCTATTTTAAAAAAACGAGCTAATATTATAAATAAAAAAACCCTTTATAAGTAACTTTTATAAATAGCTTATTATAACGATAATTATTTTATTTATTAAAATAATAAAAAATAAATAGGATAGTATTTAAAGTAACCTAAGGATAAGAGACGATCTAATACTATATTATTTATTAGGATGTTACGACTTAATATATATAACTAAGACTAGGGCCCGCCCCATAGGCTTATAGCGGCCGCAGTATATTATATATATAAGAGTATGGGAATATAAGGTAACTCTTATAGAATAGAAAAATTATAAAATAAGTTACGTAACGATAAAAAATAAAAAGGTCCGTATACTAAATATACGGACCCTGTTTTTTTAAAATACGGAGCCCGTATATTTAGAATATAGGGCCCGTTAGAATAATATATA